TCATTCACCTGATAAGAATTCTCAGTTTTCTCCCATTGGGAATGCCACTTAGTAAGAGGGGCACAGAAAAAAAGTGTTGCTCAAATCACACAAAGTTCACTTTTCTAGGCCTGTCTGGCAAAGTTGAGAAAAGTTAGATCCACATTACCTTTGCTGTGAACCTCTCAAATTTAGACTTTTTAAAAAAAATAGGTAGGTTGTCGTGTTCTGTGGAAGACAACTAAGTGATAAAACTTTGGGTCTGTATTATCAAGGCTTCAACATGTGTTGACAGTATTGTCATTTTTTAAATTTCTTATAAGAGATCTTAATTTATAGTTATTTATTTAGTGAGTTTGTTTAAATTAGCCTAATGAAGATCTCCAATCTAAAAGTGTTCACTTTTCTTATGGCTTGTTTTTGTTTTTACTGTAAAATATTTGAAAATGCCTAAAGTTAATATGTAATGATACCACCCCAAACAATAAGAGTAGATTTCTTGTCCTTGTACATTCTTTCGGGGAATGAAAAGAAAAGTCATAGATCAGGAGAAAGTGTTTGCAAACCAATAAAGAATGGTGTTCAAAAGATAAAAAGAACTCTTTAAACTCAACAGTAAGAAAACAGGTAACCCAAATTAAAAGTAGGCCAAAGATCTGGAGAGATATCTCACCAAAAACATGAACAGGTGGCAAATAAGCATATGCAAAGATGCTCAATATCATATGCCATTAAGGAATTGCAAAATAAAACACAATGCCACTGCACACCCATTAAAATGGCCGAATCCAGAGCAATGAAAACATGAAATTCTGGGGAGGGTGTGGAGCACCAGGGCTCCCATTTTTTGCTGGTGGGATGCAGTGGTGCAACTACTTTGGAAGATAGTTTGGTGGTTTCTCACAAAGCTCTTATCTTTTGAGCTTTTAAATTTAAATATTTAGTAAAGATTTAAAATTTAAATTTAAAAAAATAATACCTTAATTATGCTCTTATCAGATGATCCAGCAATCACAGACCCTGGTATTTACCCAATTGAGTTAAAACAAATTAAATCAATGAGTTTTCATGAGCTAAAAACTACATCTTCACAAGAACCTCTATGACTATATTTATAATTGCCAGAGCTTGGAAGTAACAAGGATGCCCTTCAGTAGGTGAATGGATAAGCAAACTGGTGCCATCAGACAATGGAATATCATTTAGCAATAAAAATAATTAGGCTATCAAACCATGAATTTCATGGGGAAACCTTAAATGCATATTGCTAAATGGAAGAAGCCAGTCTGAAAAGATTATATGATTCCAACTATATAACACTCTGGAAAAGGAAAAATTATAGAGGCAATAAAAAGGTGGTTTCTATGAGTTCTGGAGGAAGGAAGGCTGATAGGTGAAGTACAAGGAATTTTTAGTGCAGTGAAACTGTTCTTTATAATACTATAATTGTGTGTGTGTATGTGTATTTTATGATGCAGTTTTTTCCAAGCCCATAGAATCATACTGCACAATGAATGGATCCTAGTGTAAACTGCAAACTTCAGTATTAATATATTAATATCCTTAATCAGTTGTTACAAATGTGCCATAGTAATA